ACGAGTGGGTGATGCACTTTAACAGAAGAAGCTAATACACAGTGGCGTCCCCCAAGGGTCAATTTTAGGACCAAAGCGTTTCGTAATTTACATATATGACCTCCCCAATCCCTTAAATTGAAGATTATTAAAGTATGCTAACGATATCGTAATTCTTTCAAAGGCAAAAGCTATCGATAATCTTCAGCTATACGTCAACGTCGTCGTCATCTGGTGTCGGCCATGGAAGTTAACATTAAATACATCTAAATGCAGAATTGTTTTATATAGAAGAATCAAAAGCTATATGCATGTTGATACAAATATTTATATTGAATGAAGTTATCCCTGTTTCGGATTCTTACAAGTATGTTGAGGTTACTATTGACAGCAGAATGACGTTTAAAAATCACATAACAGACAAACTTTACAGACCTAACACAGCATTTACGGCTTTATGTAATCTTATCGGCAGGAAATCAAAACTCCGCTTTAAAGTAAAAAGAAATTTATATCTCACGCTTTATTCGACCAATTCTTTTTTATGCTGCCCCGGCGTGGGTCACAGCCTTAAAAAAGAACGAAAGAAAATCGAAATTCTATAGAACAGACTTCTACGTGCCTGGTAAATGCACCTTGGTTCGCAACAATATTATTCACGCAGACGTAAAGATTCGTCCAATTCATGAGCAAATACTTATGGATTCACACAATATTTTTGAAAATATGGAAAATTCCTCATATCCTTACTTACGTGAAGTAATTAACTACGATCCTACTGTTGAGAGTGTAGTGAAGCGACTTAGGTCTATTCACCATAATATTAATTGATGATTGTATTGCTATGTATTTAAGAATGTTTAGTTCACGGCACCAATGTTATATAGCTTTCTTCACGATACCCATTGTTAAATAAGAAAATACTTGCCGTGAAAGGTTTCTACTTCCTCTTAGCGAGGAAACTAAACTCTTAAGAATTTGCTAATTACCAAACTTTTAGTGATCGTATAGTGAATTTTAATGCATTTGCGTTGTAAAAATTGCATCCCGGGACCACGCCGTGAGAGGATCGAAAACATAAGAAAAACATATACAAGATATATAGGAAAAACATATTAAATATATAAAGAAAACATACTGTAATAGGTTTCCAGATTAAATATCAGTTTATTCAATTTCATCACAATAAATAAAATCTTATCCTCATCAGAGAGTTTAAGGAGAATTCTTCAATTTGTCATTTACATTTTTTTTCTTTTTATTTAAATTCATATAAAAACTTTAAGGTTTGTCTTGGTAATTTAAAAGGGGAAAGGGAAACAATTGAAAGCCTCAGAATTAATTTAAGATTCGACGTTGTTTTTACATTCTAAGGAAGTTGTTGAAAACTTACTTAAAGTCCAAACACAATAAAAAATAAAACTTATCTTGGGTGGACATCTTGAAGTGGAGGACTCGTATCCTAATAAGCGTTGACGTCGGCGGGGGCTCATCTTTACGGTCCAAAATGGAAGTTTCAGAAGACATCGTCCTGTCCTGGCACTATTTGCGAAAACACACACGCAGGTAACTGGTTTTCATAATGACGAAGCTATTTTTAAGTCTGGAAAACAGAAACAGGAGCACTGCTGCCCAGCACGGCTATCCGCCTGGTCTTGAAAGTCTTAAGTCAACAATCCCGGTTCAATTTCGCCTTTTTACCAGAACGCGGCAAGGGAGCATGTTTGCAGCTCCCGGCCAGAAACGTTTTTCTACGCAATTACGGCTCGCCTGTTCTTGCTCATCCCAAGAGCAAGCTTCACGAGTAACGTCCACAGTAAGTTCCACAAGCCAGTCAGCAAGTCTCGCCTCTTAACCAAAACGCGGCCGGGGAGCATATTTGCCGCTCCCCGCCGGAAAACATCTCTCTCCGTAAATTACATCCCTTCCATCGCCCTCAAGCAAGTTTCAAGAGTAACGTCCAAAAGTCCAGCAAGCCCGTAAGTGAGTCCAACTCAAATTTCCTTCGTCTCCTTCACAAACGCGGGCTCCCACTATGGCTTCACTTATCGCCCCCTTAATTTTGGCAAAATTTGCGTTTTCAACCCCTGAATGCGGAAATAAGGGTGATCGCGCATGCGCGCCCTTCTTCACTTAGCCAACAACCGGACCCTCAATCGCCAAAAACCTGAATGACTTACATCGAAAGTCAGTAGCAACCTTTGACCTTTCTGTCACGTACTTCCTCTCTTAAGGTCAACTACACAATGAAAATTCCTTCTAGAACATTCTAAAGGACAAAGCGCGCGAAATCATGACTCAGCAAAAAATTGCTTCCCTTTCCCTGCTTCTTTTCACAATGAATCAAAGCTTGTACAAAATTTGCAAATAAAAGAAAATAAATAATATTCCCAGAAGCATCTGTTTTTCCCCAAAATTAAAGCATTAAAGTAAATAATTCAGAATCAAATAAAATTAAAATTTCCATAAATCAGAAAATCATTCACCTAGTTTTTAAAACGCTATCAGACAAATTCTCTGCACAACAGTATATATGTATTATAATTTCACTATTATTTCATTCACTAATTATTTCAAACAACTTACTGCTTATGGACTTTGTGGCTTGGTAGAGCCAATTATGGACTCTGCTTAAAATTTATTCGTAAAATCTTTTAAAAACATGTGTTATATATATGAAAACTTGCAAAGATATGGACTTTGTGCCTGGTAGGGCAGGCTATGGACTATGCTAATAATTTTTATATTATTCCTTTCATGCTTATTTTCATTATTATATTATAAATATTTGTGTATCAACTGCCTCTCACAATAGGAATTCTCGAATCACGTGCGCTCAAGACCCGACTCGAAATTCTCTTAGTTACAAATTGAATCATTCACGGTCCGAGGTTCGAATCCCGCGAACGGGCTGGCTGCATGGGTGTTTTCGTGGTTTTCCCCATGTGTAACGTGTATACGAGCCAGTTTCCCTTAAAATGTCCTCCACGAAGGCATCCCTCCTCTTAGGCAGATAGCCCTAGTGTGCTTTGCCATAATTAAATACACCAACACCAAATTGAATCATTCAATGATTTATGTCCTTCACATTACTACTCAACGTACTGTGCTGCCTTCTATGTTTAACTCATATTATTTAATTGGGAATTTCAACTAGTAAGATAATGCACGCTCGCTCTCCTCATGCAACTTAATTGTTTTCACGAAACCTTGACTCCCTTTTCCACGGCCACAGTATCTTCGTCTTCGGTTGGGTGCGTTAGCAATGTCATTTATTTACATACGCAGTTGGTCTAAGAAATATGCAAAACGAACTGGTTAAAACCCTAATGTGATTGCGTACCAGTATACCAGAGACTATTAAGATTAGGTTTAGGATACTTCAAACATAACTCACACAGAGACTGATTGAAATGGACGCCTCAAAGGCGTTCGTTCGGAGATTTTTGCTGTATGATTTTTAAAGTGGGCCTGTCAGTAGCAAAATCAAGTCGCCGAGCTGCGCGTACAGGCCTGCTGTGATGGTTTGGCCCACTGGCAGGAGCTCATAGTGTACCACTTGGTGACTAGTCAACCAGATACAAAGCATGATCTTGCGTTGGTGGAGAGATGATACCGTTAACTCATGAACCGCTAGGCAATGGTTCCAGAAGTTCAGGTCAGGGGATACTATGCCTCTTAGTGATGCACCACGCAGCGGCCGGTCACAAGCGCTGGACGATGAGGCTCTGAAAGCAGCCATTAAGAGTGACAGTAGCCAAACATGCGGTGAACTTGCTTCACACTTTTAGACATCTGATGAAATGATCAGAGTCCATTTGCACCGCATAGGAAAGGCATACAAGCTGAGCAAGTGGATACCCCAACTTACAGTCCGATGCAAACAAGCGACAGCGTGTCGCTGCCTGTTTGTTATTGCTTACTCGGCACTGCAATGCATCCATATTTGATCGAGTACTCATCAGCAATGAAATGCAGGTCCAGTATGATACATCCAGGCCTTCCAGACATTGATTGTCACCACGGGACACTGTGCCTCACACTGCGATATCTACTTTCCACAAACGCAAGATCATGCTTTGTATCTGGTTGACTAGTCACCAAGTGGTACACTATGAGCTCCTTCCAGTGGGCCAAACCATCACAGCAGGCCTGTACGCGCAGCAACTGGAAGGTGTGCATCAGGCACTGATGCATAAAGAGCCAGCATTGGTCAATCGTAAGGGTGTACTCCTCCTCCATGACAATGCGAAGCCGCATGTGGCTCGGGAGGGCAGGAACACCATCCAGCAACTGAGCTGGGAGACACTACCCCATTCACCATACTCCCCAGACTTCGCGCCAACAGACTACTACCTTTTCCTTTTCCTGGACAACCATCTCTGTGGGAAACCCTTCAACAACTGGCCAGACCTCGAAAAGGGCTCACGGGCTTCTTTGTGTCCAAGACTCCTGAATTTTACCGCGATGGCATCGTAGAGCTAGCCACTCGTTGGCCAAAGGCCCTAGATGCCGATGGTGATTACTTTGATGATTAGCGGTGATTATTATTTGTTTTATGACTTTTTCTTTCTGACTGTATAAAACGGCAAGAACGTTTTTGGTTAGCTTGTCGTCGTTAATCTTTCATCTACTCTGGTTCACGTGATACGTAATTCGGTAAATGTGACTCACTAAATAACTTGAATAGCTGCTCGAATCACATGATCGGATGTAAAATTCAGTTAGGAAGATCACGCAAAAGATGTAGCCAACGACTGATTAATTTTTTGTGTGTTATCTGTGTACCCTGCTAAAAATGCCCCGTAGAAACCCATAAAATGTTTTACGGGGTATTGGCCTACGGGTACCTGTACAGCTCTGCGGGTGTTATAACTTCCTAATATTCAAGTACCAGTGTAAATAACTAGTTTCTCAGAAATACTTTATTTAAAAGGACATAAATTTTAAAACTTAGGTTACTGTGAGTCATAGAGTTTTGAACAATGAATTATTTGGTAATTTCTAAAACAAAAGTGTACCTGGGTAGACTGAAAGGAGCCTGATTGTAACTGCTGGGAATTTAGCCAGTTGACAACAGAAGAACTTTTCACCATATCATTGAAACGCAGTAAATTTAAAAGACCATAGGCTGTTGCTTCAATATTTCTAGCAGGATTTCCTGTGTCCCAATACATTGTATTTGCATCTAAAATATAAGAAAAAATTGAATGTTACGATAAGGAAAAAGTAATCCTTAGATTTCAAATAAAATCTACAATTTCTAACTAATCTGTACATCTTGCAATTTTTACAATCATATATATAATGAACTTTTGCATTTATTAAGAAAAACAAAGAAATAATATTATGATGGTGAAATACCATGAAGAATAAATTTTTTAAAAACAAATTCTAACTAAGTATTTAAGTGGAGAACAATAACAATATACTAATAAATGATATATTTTTGTTAGGAGAAAAACAATTAGAATGGCTTTTAGGAACTTTTAAAATTTTTGGATCAAAACATATTACTTAATTTCATTTATGATATACGCAAAATGTTTAGTGGAATTCTGATTCAAAGTTTGAAGATTTTAGAAAAATGTTAGAAAGATTATAAAAGTAAATAAGAAACGAACAATAACTAGCAATAGAAGCTTTATTAATTTTACTTTTCTGCCGTAATATTCTTGTTCTTTAATGCGAAATTTTAAAGCTCTTAATTTGAATAACATATATTTATGGTTTAACAAATTATTTGTTTTTTAAATCTGCAGCTTTTTAAGCCTGCATAGTAAACACAAGAATTGAAGAAAGAGAGAAAAAAAAGTTTAAAATAATTTTGTAAGTTTTATGTTAATTAACTCAGTTTCTTATTAGTTTGCCTTACTTTCACTACTTTCGTCAGCTTCCAACAGGATGAAAATTAAATTAATTAAAGTAGAAATAAGCACAGAATTCTTGAGTTGAAAAGAACTTTCAGCAGCATTTATTGACATCAGTCTGTCTGAATTTATCAGCTTTAGCTTCGGAAAGCCACCTTTGCTCCTCAAATATTTCATTATAAAATCATTACCAGCCCATTAACACTAACAAATATCCAATGGAAGAAAAATACAGCAGTATAAAATTTAAAATTAGGCTGTTTCCCAATAAAAGGCAAACTTAGTTGGGCGTAAAAAACTAATTTGAATAAACTTGTTTTTTAAAAAAATTTTGACATGTCCTTTTGTTTGGGGGGTTTGAATATCAGCGAACGGGCTAGTTGCATGGGTGTTTTCGTGGTTTTCCCCACGTGTAACGTGTATACGAGCCAGTTTTCCTTTGAAAGTCCTTCACGAAGGCATCTCTCACCTTAGGGAGATAGCCCTCGAGTGTTTTGCCGTAATTAAATAAATCAAACCCAAAACTGTTTTTGGATGTTATGCTGTAAAGATTCAAAATTCTAAACCGAGAAGCAAACCTCTTTACATTATGCACTAGTATCAAATAGTTCATTACAGAAAAATATGAAAACGATTTTTAATCATCTCATTTTCTTATAAAATTTGATCCCTGTGAATTATATTATGTTCTCTAAAGCAACGTTTCATGTTAAAAGATAGAATTTTGATAATATTTCAAATAATCAGGCAAATGGGTAAACTTCCATTATTGAAACAGCTGCAAAATACACAATAGCAATTCTGCAGTGTCTAAGGGTTTCGAATTGTTAAATTAACTTACTTCTACTCACTGCTCACCTTTAGAAGTTATCTACCTTTAAAGCTGAGTTATCGCCTTTTACTTAATCTGCCATCAGATACAATATATAACACAAAATGTAAAAATTAGCTTTATTTCCAAACCGTGAGTTAATTAAAGTTATTCAACACAAAACTTAAAATTATACAACACAAAATTTGAATTTCCTAGACAACTACTACTTGTTGGAACTTTATGTAACTGACTGTCTTCAGTGATTCTCAGTTAAGAACTCCAGCTACTCAGTTACAACAGAGTCGCCCGATCAAATCTCAATCAATGTATAACGTTTACTATCCATACCAGATGTCGACGTTCACCTCTATTTGTGAATCAGTGGCTTCCTTTCAGGGGTGGCAACAAAAGGCAACCCGTTTATTGTCTACAACGATACATGCCGATTAAGATTCTTCCTCTCAATTTAAACTACAACACTTTTCCTAAAATCTGCATAAACCTCTGGAATGAGTATGTTAAATGTCACAATCTCACATAGACTGTCACGGATACCGAGTCGCATCATTTCTATTTTTATTCAGACACGTTTCTTGTGTGAGATGTAAATTCAACATCGATTCTTTAATGAAGGAACTGTCATGTATATTACGATCTGGCAATTGGCGAATGCCGCAAAATTCTGTCAGAAAAAATAATTAATTTATAATGAAAAACAGTGTTCAAATTACAAGAAGATAAAATTATGTATTAGTATTAAGGAAACACCAAAATAGCGCTGCATAAAATTGCCATAACTATTTTAGGCAAGCTAATATTTATGCTTAGCGATGACTGTGGCCCATAGAAAATATCAAAAATACAATAACTTAACTAAAAATATTCTAGGAAGTTGATACCAACTGACGAAAATGATCTATATTAAAAAGTTTAAAACAGAAGATGTTTAATATTTACCTTCGTATAAATTGGCGGTTCTGTTTAAATTTAATCAAACAGAGTCAAGTATGATGATAAACAAAGAACAAATCGTTTAAGAGGAACTTAATTACTCCTATCGAATTCGTGTCTCATTAAAAAAAAAAAGGGTTCATTGGACAGTCTTCGAGAAGCGAAAAAGGCACATCACATTTATGCGCGATACTAGCGCCTTCTATTGATAATCAAAATAATTTCCACACCTCTAGAGACATCTAGTGGTCTACATACTTGGCCTGATACGTAGTATATTAGAAAAAATGCATTCAGACACATAAAAGAGAGGTAAAATTTTTCCTTCAGCTTATAATTTTATTATGTATTTAGTCTTTAATAAAACAATGTGTATTATGTATTATGTGCATATACTATATCACTCTTATTTCATCAGTAAACGTTTAAGTTTAACATAAAAGAATGAAAAAGCAAAACGAAATATAAAAGAAAAGATAACACCTTCATCCTGCTTTGCTAAAGATAACAATTTCTCATGCGCGTCTCTCTTTAAATGACTGTCCCCTAAAGATAAAGCATAAGCAACTATTGCCACTGGAAGTGCTTTAGTTACATCTGCCAGATGAAGTTCTAAGAAAGTCAAAGCTCTTGCCTTCACTAAATTCAGTTTCTGAAAGAAATATCAGAAATGAGTACAGTAATTAAAATATAATTTACAATTATCAGTTTACATTAAGAAGCCTCAAAACACTACTTGAATGAAATAAATTACCCCCCAAAAAATAAATTGAAAATCTAATTATTGATCTCATTCAATCAACATAATGAATTCTTAGGAAAGTTGGTGGTTTCCTGTTTCTTATTGGTGATATATTCTCATAAAGGACCATATTATGTGTATGAGATACGTATATCATCATATTAAATTATAATAATATTGTTACGAAATGCCCAGACGCATTAAGGTAGCTTCTCCGCAGAGCGGGCTTAGGGTAGCCAGAAAATGGCAAGGGAAGGCAGGGCTGCCATATTTGGCGCAAAGTCGCCCATTTGACGACAAAACTGGCGACGATATACTATAGACGGATGGAGAACTTTCTGGAACGAATTCTCACCGGTTTGGCTCAGAATGTTCTCGAACGCAAGCCGAAAGCTATATAAACCCTGCTGGTACGCGGAGAGTCAGTCAGTCAGTGCCTAGTCTAGTGAGTTCATCGCGAATATAGTGAGAGTGGCTCGTAGTCTAGCGAGTTGATCGTCAGTCTAGTGTCGAGTTGGTCGTCGAGTGTTTCACGAGTTGGTGCATCGCAAGAGTGTCTCGTCAGGGCATCGTTGAGGCTATCGAGTGTATCGTTCAGTGCATCGCCAGTTCTAGCGTGGAGAGTCTCGAGAGTAAGTTGAGTTCCGAGAACGACCGAACCGAGTCGAGAGCTGTACTCTGGTGCTTTGCCGTGAAGCTGTCTTCACCGTTATAGCCTGAAGACTGTGTCGCTGATTGTTTCAGCGTGTTTATAGTAATTTTTATAAGGCTGTAAACCTGTTTTGGAACTGCCCTGAGTAATATTGGCTAACAAATTGTGTTTTCATTCTTCATCAAATGTCGTCGTTATTCACTCCAAATCCACGAACCCGTACAGAACGCAAAAATATGCTCATTTTTTAACTGTACCTGTATTCTCCTACAGAAGACTGAATTATTCTTGGTTTTATAAATTATGCCAGTCTATTTCTCACGCCTTTATTTAAAATTTATCCAGTCTCCTGTTATTCACCAGTTTTGATATTAATTTTAGTGCTTAAAGTCTCAATGAAACCTAGCATTTTAAAACTTAACATCATTGAATATATAATCATATGCTTTTGTAACGTGGAATACTGCTTTGCCATTATTGTTGTACAACAATGAAGCGCGAATTGGCATTTCTGCCGTTTATTTAAAGTAGATTAAAAATCTTACTATCAATTTATATACGACCAAAAATTATTTTTTATATTTACCTATATTACATTTCAAAGCAGTATTTTATTTTTATAATCATTTTAATTATTCTTGATGCCTACCTTTATCTCATTGTCATAGTATAGAAGTACAAATTTATCACTAGGAAATAATCTAATGTGGCTTTATTTTACAGTATTTCAAAATACTTTTCACCCTATGCACTTCTGCATCCTTTGAAAAACCAGCTCTTCCATGTTTCCTTAGGAACGTATTCACATCATTATAACATCCTATTCATTAAAAAACGACTTACATAGTAACATAGTCTTAATATACGACAACAATGTGAAGTGATTCTGATATTTCAGTATTTAAAGGCACAGTTAGCGAAAACAGTTGGCTCAGGGAAGCACCTCAAAATTTCCATATGTAAGAGTTTGGATTTCAATGTTTAATGTTGTTCAAAAACGTACTAATGTTAATGTTAGCACTAAAACTAAATACCAGTAATTTCATTACTGAATAACCTAGATGCTGAAGTACCTCAAACAATTAATAAATCTTTCTTCAGATCGTTATTAAATTATTAAAATTGTAATTATGAAGATAAAATAAAAATATAGAATAAAAATAAGAAAGAAAAAAGTATAAAAATAAATAAAAAATATATCAATCATACGGAATAAAGTACGGAGGATATTTCATTATCAAAAACCCATTACTAATGAAATGATGCATGCAGAATTTGAAGTGGTGGTCAGGAATGTTGACATGTTCGAGAAGCTTCTCATTTTGACTTGGAATGCTTGAACTTTGGTAAATACACATCTACTTTATTGTGATTGTCTTATGATTGTCTTATGTGTGAAATTCCACAACTCGCCTAATGCAGAAGAAGATAGACGCTTACCAAATCGTGATTTTCACATAAATTTGGGTGTGCTTTATCAAGACACTGCGCTAGAGCTTTGAAGACATGATGTAGCATCAAAGTCAGAATGTTTCTGCTGCTTGTTGCAATAATTTTGGCATGGTAAAATGTTCCATTTTAAAACTTTTTTAGATCTTGTGGCACCATGAAAATATATTGTGCTATCTCTTCCTTAACAAAGAAATTGTGTGTGCAAAGAGGAACACTCTATGAACTTCCTCTACGAGTTGAGAAACCAAATAGGAATTCTACGATGATCAGGAAATTGCTATGCAAGAATATCCAAACATTTCTCTACTTGAGTATAAATCATTATCTGTTGTGTCAAGCACGTTTATCACAATAGCAATGTTCTCTGTGACAGACGAGGATGGAATTTTAAATCTGAACCATCTTGCAGACTAAAATTCCTATTCCGTTACAACTCATAAGTGAATATGATTGTATTATATGAATACGACAGTATAATGAGGATAATCATTTGCTTGTGCAGGAACTATATGCAAAAAACGTATCAACAGTCAAAGTGAGCCCAAGATTGTAGGACGATATTGTTTGTCATGGATTTTACTTTTAACCGGCAAGACATTGCAAATTTTTATTTAAGTGAATGAATATGCAGTGTCCTGAATTTCGATATAAATAAATAAACAAATGCTATCTTTTATATAAACTTGACATGAGACTGTTATTGTTCTTGAAAGGGAACTTAAGAGGAAGCTGTAAAAAATAAAAAAATTCTGCTAGCAAAATATTTCAATTTCTATAAAAGAAAACTTATTATTTTTATGGCTGTATAAGTACAGCTATAGGTTAGCAAGAAAGATAAATTTATTTTTGATAACATTTATTTTTTACCTCAACATCACAGTTACATTCTTCTAAGGCTATTAAAGCAAAAGCTGTCATTGCGATGTTTCCTTGAACACCTCCCTAAAAACATAAAATTAAATATTACATACGTCATGTATAATTCCTTAGCTACGACATATGCTCATGATTCAAAGAATGCAAGAGATCGTTCAAAGAATGAAATTACCCTACATGCAGTATAGATTAAAATTTATGTGAATATGGAAACTAAAATTTCAAATTATGAGTGAATCTGCAACATACACATTAAACAATTCATATGCACGTTATTAGATAATAAACACATTAGTAAGAAATCTGTTCTTAAAGGTCATAAAAGATATAAAAGATACCATACATTATATACAACATTGAAATACACTATTAAAGTTTAAACTTTTCTTCATTTCGTATTTTAATAAATTATTAGAAATTCGTTTTAGTTACAGTTTGCTCACATGCATTGCATTATGTTCGTCGCAGAGAAACTGTATCAATAAAACAAACTATCTCATATAGCCCAGTGAATTTCATTGTGACATAGTTACAGGACGCAACTTCTGCAACAAAGATATTTGGAACATATCTGCCTTGTTGCACCTGTCTTAGACAATTTGCTGTTGCAGAATGAAAAATAGTTGTTTAACATAAAGGGGTAACATGAACGATGTAACTTAAAAAAAATGGATGCTGAGAATGAAGTGAAACTTGAATGTTAGAACGTATTGTGATGTTCAATGAAGAAAGTAGGCTTAAGGTTATTTTTTAAAGATATGGATCAAGCCTTAAATTAATTCTGTACCGATGATTTCTGCAACTGAATGGGTAGTTAGCATAACGGAACCTACGCTAGACATTAAAAACAGTTTCTCTTTGTATAAATACCGTCTGGCTTTGATTCATAACTGAAAGAATATGACAGAAATCCTATATCTTAAAGTGGAAAAATTCGAGTATAGTATAGATCTGAACAGTATGTAACAACGGAATGAATGGCGAAGAGCTTAAATGACATACACAAGGACGGTCTTCAACACTGAGCTCCATCTCAAGAAACTGTTTAATTATTGATTGCTAATGTCTCAGAATTTAAAGGTAGAGTTAGAGAAAACAGTTGGCTGAAAGAAAAATCTCAAAATTTCAATATATGGGATTTGTGTTTCACTGCTAAATATTCTTCAAAAACGTACTAATGTTAATGTTAGCACTAAAAATAAATTCCACTTATTTCATCACTGAATAATATAGATGCTGAAGTACATCTCAAATAATTAATAAATCTTTCTTTAGCTAGTTATTATATTATTAAAACTGTCATTATCAAGATGAAATGTGCAGATATGATACATGGCCTTTGTATGGGTTAATTAAATAGAAGATAATTTCCAAAGTCTCAGCAGTAATAAAATTGTTATGTGGAATTACATTTAGAAACATTTAGAGCAGTTTATCACCAGTATCATATATGTTAATTAAATTATTGACATAAATTCAGTAAAAATAAGAAATGACTAAAGTGAAAAAGAAAATATTGAAATTAGAGCAAATAAATTTGTATTTATTTAAAAATAATAATTTAATGCCTACCATCATATTAAGATGATACATAGGGTGACTTTCAATGTAAGAACCATCAGAATCTTGTTGATTGTCAAGAAGCCACTTTACACCAGTGTGCAGCACATTTTCATCAATATGTACTAATTCATTTGCTTGGCAAAGTACTTTCATAACGAAGGCTGTCAACCTAAAAATAAAGCTCTTTTCGTTATAAGTTTCGAAATAAGTTATAAACACAATATTAATTTGAAAGCTGAAACTAAATTTAATGAAAAATTGCAAACTATCTGAGACTTTTCAGCCACCCATTCAAAAAACGGGATGGTTGAAAGACATGAGATAACTGATTTCTTGAATGTTTTCAGCCATTTTGTTTTTAGAAAAGGTAAGGATAATTTAGGTTATTTGAATACGGCAAAGCACACATAGGTATCTGCATAAGGTTGTGAAGAAATGTTTGAGGAAAACTGGCTGATATTCCCTTTACACATGTGGAAAACAACGGAAACTTACCATAGTGCTAGCACGTTTGCCTACATTCGAATCCGAGTCGAACTACCAATGTCCAGCTTTTCGTATTGCAAATTAGATTTGTATGCATTTAAGATAAGATTTTCGAATTTTTAGATCAGAGCTTTTGGCAATTCCCATCTTACTATTAGCATTTTCTCTAACTTTATTTAAAAGCTATATTCCGGTTTAGCATTCTCGCTAGCCTATGTTTCAATTAGGCGCCGATAAATATCTCAGCTAACTTATTCTACTCATTGTGTAGTCTTAGATTACATTACTAGCATTATAATTCAATTGTCTGTCATATTTATTTTAATATCCGTAAGCGGTGGAAGTTTTTCTCTAGTAAAAATTCTACCTGTTCTGTTACATTAAAGCTAAAATTAAAAGTTGTTTTAAACGTTCTTTTGTATTTTGTGTAAGACGTAGCGATAACTCGCTATTAGTGTAGTAAGGTCTGTAGTACTCCCATTTACAACAGAAATCCTACATCTGGCGCCCAACTTAATTACGAACTATGCCGTAGGATAGCGCTACTTTTAGACACCCCTGCCGGGATTCCAAGATCCTATTGCACCAGTGTAAGTCCGACAGAAGGCTTCGGCTTTATTGTAGACACTATGCGCACATCAGTGAAGCTGTCCAGCAGTTTTGACGATATAAGTTCGATGTTGACCATTTCGGAAAATATAAAAGCGTATTTTTTACATACCCTGTTGGAGAACTGCAAAAGGTAACCATAGCAACCACAGCGCTTTGAAGTCAGGTCTGGAGCTGGTGGAAAGGCATCGGGAAATATTTATTAGGTGAACCAAGGAGTGAAAATTATAAGTTTTAAGTATTTAAAACTGCTGCCTTTTGAAAGAATTCTCTGTGGTGAAAGACAGAGCGAAGTTAGAATTCGAATTTTATGGTAAATATGAGATTAAGGTAGATGAGTTAACAGATTTAATTCTAAGAAAAGTGCAGATGATAAATTTGTTGTATGGAAAAAATCTGATGCAAAAATTATTCAGATAATATTACCCAGACTTTAGCCTCAGATTCAAGATGTTCTGTAGCAAAGAAACCCTGGTAAGCTAGAACAAGTTTTTGAACTAGTGCTGGAATTTGAAAGTAAGTGAATGGCAGTGAATACCCGTATGTAGGAAGGCGAAGAAAGATTCAGCGAAATTTTCGGAAACATGTAGCCTTAAGGAAGTACTAGGTTTGACGGCAGACAGAGGTTTGGCAATCGGGAAAATGTTTCCTCCGCTAAAGGCGATCGCCAAGACAAATCTTAAAACAGGAAATTGGTCTAGGCGAAAAAAACTTTAAACCAGATTAGAGGTGCTGTGGGTCAGAGAGGGCCGTCATTTCAGAGAAAAGTAAAAGCCTGTCACATCCAATTAACTATGGTGCTAATTAAAAATTTGACCCTCTCAGTTATTCAAATTGTGTTAAACAGCATGCCTTCAGATCAAATGTAACACCACAAAGACAACACCTTTATCGGTGTTATTTTTGGGGTGAGAAACTTACAATAGCAATATTGCGGTTGGAGTTATTTAAAATCATTATTTTAAATCTTTATATCAAAAACGTAATACTGCGGTTGGTTTTTTTAAAATCTTTATCTGTCCGAGAAAATTAGTTCCCAGAAAGATACGATCGGGTAGATATGAAAAGCTAATTGGACAAGAAATCGAGCCGGCGATCTAGGACCTAAAAGAACGGAATTCAGAAGAGAAGACGAAACTGTAGCAGTTGGTGAGAAATTTTTCAGATTTATTTGATGATAACTCAGGGTTCACAAAAGATAGAAACAGGAAGTTAAAGCATACAGGCATACTGAAAACAATTATAATCCCCCCGAACATGCCTGTAGAACTATGGCGGAAAAAAATAATCTGCCACGCACAGTTTTCTCATGGCTTTTTTCGATTGACTGCAGAAAAATAAACATTATATCAAAATATCCGGTTTCGCATTAACAATAATTGAGAAAATAATAAGAAAAATTAAATCTATAAAATGCAGGACGATGCTATATTTCACGTCTGAACATGTGTCAAAAACATGTGTGAAACCGGAGAACGTGCAAAAAACCGCATTTATTACCAAATCAGTGGCTTATGCCTTCCTTAGAACGCCGTTTAGCTTTTGGGGAGTCCTCGTTAAGTTTCAGTGACAGTGAGCCTTAGACATAATCTTAAAGCCTATCTTTGGAAAATCAACATTTATATATTTAGATGACATAATAGTCATAAGCGAGACAACTGATGAACACATTCAGGATTTGCACGAAGTTTGTTAGCTTCTAAAAGAAGCAATTTTAAAGGTGTATTCGGCAAAATGTAAATTCGCAGCCAACTTCGATACCTGAGTTATAAGATATCTGAGAAGAGAAGAGAAATGGGAGATTCCAAAATTGCGGCTGTCAAAAATAACCTACCAACTAACATGGCGAAAAAATAGGCATAATTATTTTGGGCTTGAGCTTCTGTTATAGAAGTTTCATCAAAGCTATTTCTCACATAGCAGCGCCCTTATTAAATTTGCAAAAAAAAAAAAAAAAAAAAAAAAAAAAAAGGCTAGATTTACAAGGTCTACAGAAACAAACACAGCTTTTGATAATCTTAAAACGTTATTAACCGCAGCACCCGTCGTAAAATTTCCTGAAGTGGACAGTAAATTTAGAAATCGCTGCAGATGTCCTGATTTCGCAATAGGAACCGTGCTTATAAGCAAGGTCGACAGGTGACAGGTAAGAGCGAGTCCGAACACCCGGCCGGCTTACAAGAACTAGGGTATATTTCATACAAGGTATATGATGCTATTACACTGATATAGTAAACGGATAATGCAATTACACTGAAAACGCTGTTACACTGATAATGCTGCTATGCTTCATATTTTGGCAAAACACTTAGGTCAACTAAAAAAAAATTGAAATTGAAATTGAAATGAATTTCTGTTTCTCTCTTAGAATTGCTCTTTCTTCCCTTCGTATCGACGTAAATTAAATTAGTGATTCGCGCAAGTATATTAATTCATAGATTATTTATTTTGAGTACGGAAATCTATTTGAAATGAATGAATGCTGTTGAAAGGAATCATTGTTGAAATGAATGATTTCACCAATTAATTCATTTCAAATAGCAATTCATATTCAACCAAGAGAGAAACAGCAATTCTATTGGCCGCACGAAAATTTCAAGTTTATTTTGACAGAAAACCGATTACTGTATATACGGATCATGCGAGCATTATACACTTGTATTCCGTGAAGAATTTATCACCCAGCTTCATAACATTGGATCTTAAATTACAAGAATTCAATTTTATAATTAAACATGCCATCGGGAAAGAAAATCTTGCAGCAGATGCCCTATCACAAATTAAACTAAATGATGAGGGGAAAGAATTAAAATATGTCATGGTAACTTCTAAAATTTTATATTTATATGAAGCAATTATTTCAGAAATGCAAGTAGACCCGGAAGTAATAATTATCTTCTCTTATTTAAAAGATTCCGATAATTCTGAACATCAGAGCATAACGAGAATTACGAATAGGGCTGTATATTGCGAAGTCATTGATAATTTTCTATTCTGTAATAATACAAGACATAATAATAGTATATTAAGATCGGTTACTCCATTGAGTTTAAGTATTTTACACGAACTGCACGACTCGCCTTTAGCGCCATATCGGAATTAAAAGAACAGTTAAAAAAATAAGGGAAGTTGTTTTTCTTTTCACCGTTCCAAAGATTTGTGGCGCAATATGTAAAATCCTGTAATACTTGCCAGTTAATGATATTAATTATAGCACTGCTGGGCACTTAAATAGCATAAAAACCCCATTCTGTAACGAAATCGCTGGAAAGAAAAAATAAAGTACACATGTAAAGAAAAAATAAACAGGTATTTACTCGTAATCGTTGATCATTTTTCGAACTGGGTAGAAATAATTTCCCTCAAAAGAACGTTCGCAAAAATTGCTTCAGATTTATTTTTTAATAAATTTATATTAAGGTAATATTAAAATAGTCTCAAACAATAGCAAACAATCGTAAGTCAAATTTTTGAGGGAATGTGTACGGGTGTTGACATAAAACATTTTAAAATTGTCCCTTATCGACCGCAATCGAATATCGCAGAGTGGATGAATATAAATTAAAATTATCCGTAGCTATGGAAATAAATTACCACAAACGCTGGTACAACTTAGCCTATGCAGTGAGATCAGCCAAAAACGATAGCGCGAGAAAGACATCAGCTGAATTATTTTTTGGCAGAGAGGTGATTACGTCAATCGATAATTTTTGTTGTTGTTGAAAAGAGGTCTGAAGACTTCAAGTTAGCAAATATCCAAAAATTAGTGGATGAGGTAAAGAGTAATCTAGATATGACCCATGCAAAACAAAATTTTTATTTGAGAGAATAAGAGAAAGAGCGTTATATTTAAAAGAACAAAATGGTGAAGTCGTAAAAGCGAATGTATGATGCTGATTGCTTGGGAATCGCCTGGCTTTAGCACGGAAGGGCCGTCAAAGAATGCGGTTGATACAGAGTTGGCCTCCGTGTCACAAGATCCTCAAGGAAAAAGATGGATTCCGGGAATGAAAAGAAAATGCCAAGATTCGGTGATGCTTCAAAAAGAAAAGCTACAGAGGAAGGTTCTTGAATACATTTCAGTTTAGGCCAAGGAGGAAAAACACTTCCATTGCTTGTTGGGAGTGATATCACTCAGGTGACACGACACATCTGTCGAGGAGTATATTATAGTTTAACAAAGAACGTGCGTATAAAGAACGAAAGCTTCCACAGCCGTAATGCAAACCAGTTTTGTGCAACAGGGTTAAAGCGTGGATGAACAAATCCTCTTCGACAAATAGCTAAGTGTACATGAAATTGAAGAATACGATACAAAACCAAAGAGCTTCCAAGATTCGTTCGTTGACAAAATGGTTTGTGACACATTTTAAACACAGATTTCCGTATTCAAAATAAATAAGCTGTGAATTAATATACTTGCGCGGATCACTAATTTGATTTACGTCGATACGAAGCGAAAAAATGGTGTCACATAAGTTTGAATTCTTTACAAACATGACGTACGACATCCGCTCGGCATCGTTTTCGCGAATGCGTAAAAAGGTATCAAGGCAAAAGGTAAAATGTTATTTATAGAATAACAAGCTATTTTATAGAATAATTAGGTAAAACGTGAAATTATTAATATATTGTACACTTTAACCGACTTGGCTAGTTAATTTATGAAATATATAGTTAGTCTATGAAGTAATTGAATAGCTTTAATGATAACATATATCTGGCTGTAACGAATGTTTTTTTTTTTGCTAAAAAACGTTTTCAATAAAATTAGAGAAAGAAACATGAAAGCAGCATCTTTAAAGTGGGTAGTAATCACCATCCAAATCTATGATTTTCTGCCAATGTTTTGGTAGTTTTTCAAAGCCTTCGGCCCAGAAACTTAATGGCTTCGAGTCCAAAAACAGACGAAACCGCATTTCGGGCGTTCTGAGCAGAGTGGAAGGTAGCACTAGCAAGATGTAGTTGCAGGTGTGAAAAGACTTATAAGTCCAAAGGAGAAAATTCGAGGCTATATGGTGGGTGTGGAAGAATTTGAGTCAGTACAGAGTACTGCCGGTGAATGCAGAAGAAATATGTGGTCTTGCATTATCTTCTTGATGGAACATGACCTTGGGCGTCGGCTCAATTCTTTCAATTCGAAGTTTTTCCTTGGTAGCAGCGTCACCACGGGCTAGAATTTCGCTGTACATCTTAATGTCGAAGCATTTATCTTTTTTCAAAAACTGTTTATCGATAATACCACGACAATCCCACCAGATACAAAGCATGATCTTTTTGTTAGTCAAATTGCACTCTGCGACACTGCCGACGGGCCTTGCTGGGCGCAGAGCAATCCGCTTGCCGACCTTTGTTATTGAAGTAAATCCACTTTTCATCGCAACTGATGATTCGGTCCAGAATTTTCTCCCTACGTTGATATTCGAGCAGATTAGTGCAAGCCCGAACACATCTGTCCTTATCTGCTTGAGTCAGCTCATGCGGTACCCAACGATTGAAATTGTACGTCAGGTTTATGCGATGCATACTTCGACTAATGGACATAGCGCTAACATTTAACTCCTTAGCAAGCTCTCGAGTAGTTGCATACTGATCTTCTTCTTAAATTTCTTGCAGGCGGGCCACATCAATATCAGTAGGCTGGCCAGAGCGCTCTGCTTGTTGAATGGCACAGTCCTTGTTTTTGAACTTTGGTTACCAAACTTTCACATGTCATATATAATACAACATTAGTACCTAAAGCTGTATATATGATTTGGTGACATTCTGTAGTTAACTTTTTGCAACAGAACCTGAATTAAATCATGGCTCTAATCTGATAGCGGGATAGTTCCATTTCAGACACCTTGTACTTAATGATAACGATATTTGTTCACAAATTTCACAACACAGTGTTCTAAAGCAAGTCGCTTTCTTTCAAATGTCAAATATCGTTTGACAATGTATCATCAAACACTCCAATGCAAACTGTTTGGACAGACGATATTTGTGGTGGCGGGAAGCTTTCGTTAAAACCCGATATTTGCACAGTTGCATAATTAATAACTTCAACTTGTAAGTCAGGATTCATGATACTTAGTTTATATTTTTGGTTGATTCAAGCTTAGCCAAAATGTTTTAGTCATATTTTCATGCTTTAAAATTTTAGCCATTTACAGTGGAATATTTTCAATTATAAAACATTCGTGGCAGTTCTTAATCATGTATGAAATAAATCCTAAGTAGTAGATTTCTTAGCATTGGCCTCTTTTGTATACAGATACAAATCAAATAGAAGTGTGTAGCATCAGGTAAAAATTTAACTAAAGAGGAAAACTAAAACTGAGAGGCTGATTTCATGTGCGAACCTGGCAGATCAATACAAATTAAGCTTACACTAGAATCTGCATCGCAAAGTTTTCTACCTCATCCACCAATTCGGTACCAGAAACTACTGTGTGTTCAAGAATCTACAGGAATTTCTTTCTGATGCGCATTGGTTAAGTGTACAATTTGTGTTGTATGTGTCGAAGAGCGCAATATCTGCTTGGCTAGCCACTTAGGTAAGCAAAGAGCATACAGATCTGTCATAATACATGATTGTGTATCTTCAACATGGTGGTGTTTTATTTAATACCGAAATGAAATTAATTCGAACGCTGTGCATGTTTTATTATCAAAAAATGTCTACTACGCAAGGCTTGAATCTTTAAGTATATGCTACTTTCCGAATCTAATTCTTTCTTCCTTTTCGCAAAAAACTGCTTTTCAAAAAAAAAAAAAAAAAAAAAAAAAAAAAAAAAAAAAAAAAAACGGATTGTTGGTGGTCGAGTGGATTATTCCAGGAATTGAACTTCGTACTGTATATATTTTTCTTGCGAAATATTATTAACTTTCAAAGAATGAAAAATGTGTCTATTTAAAAGCTTGAAACCGATTTGATTGTGGATTCATTTATTCAGTATTTCTTTATTATTTCAGTTAAACAAAATTTGACTAAATAATATTTCACCCTTTTTAAAATTCTGAACTGATAAATATGATTTAGTATTAAACATACCATATACTGGGTGGAGAGTGCTTGAAAGCTGAATATGATCCATCGGCTTTCCTAAATGCCAATTGATTACTATAACCTGTAAGAAAATAATTTAATAAAAAGTAAATGCAAAATTAACCAGTTCTAGTAATTTAATCAAACAGAGCTTCTTACACTGAAACATTCATGAGGTAAATTTTGGCTGTATTTAATTGCAAATATTATTTTTTTCAGATGTCGAAAGTTGATACTAATTATATTTATTTAACGACATAAAATATTTGTATGGTATCTCGGTGATCTAATATTTCCCAGAAGTTCAGTTCGTAGAATTCAGAATTACTATAATTCTCAGTTAGATAAATTATAGGTTGTAGAATTTATTAGGAGGTACGTATCGGAGCAGATATCGTGCAGCATTAGAAATGTGTTCCCCGTGATTCGAACTCCGGATTGCTAACCGAACGTGCTTTCAATTTACCACGGAGGCACGCGGGAAGGAGATAGAAAACATCTTACAATGTTGGCACAAGTAAATTATGTATTAGTCTTAATTGTATTATCATATCATATGTAAACAGATACTTCTTGATTTCACGATATAAAAAATCTAATGTGTACACCACATGACTTCCTTGTACGGAATATTAAATTATACGCATTTTTTTCTTGCATTTCATTTAAACTTATTGGATTGAATTAAATCTACTTCGCCGACAGCGCATAAATCACAATAGAATAAATGCATTCTTTAAAATTCACTCTAGTATTTGTTTACCATAGCGACACTCTAGAGCTAGATTCACTTAACAGTATAATATTTCGTTCATATTATAACTCATAATGCACAAAATTTATATTATTTAAAGAATAGAATTATCTAATCGTTGCCACATGTTCTATTCAAAGACTATAATAAAGCTAGAATGATGTATAAAAGAAATTAAGCAAAGAAAACCAAAAAAAAAAAAAAAAAAAAAAAAAAAAAAAAAAAAAACAGTTTTTCAAAGACGATTGAGTATTTCTCATTCAATTAATTCAGTTCTCACTTCGCGAGAAGGCAAAAACACATAAAAACTCAAAATATCTATATTAAAAACTACGAAGTAAATCTCAAACACTTATTTCCTCGAAAAAATTCCAGAAAGAATTAAGCATGATTTAATTGGCAGTAATAAATGAAGGCGTTATCTTTGTTGTTGCGAAGCTAAGTTTCTCTAGATTGGCAACAAATCCACTAGTCTGCTGTTTCAAATGTAAACAATCAATGGCCGCCATCAAACAAAAGGCTTAGCGGCACTTAAACAACTTTAAAATTGTTGATAATTCTAAAAATATTGCATATAGATTTACTAAAGGCATAAAAACCTTAACCGAAAGATAAAAACAACATAATTCAATCATTTTTAAAGCAAAAAATGTACAATTTACAAACATATAAAAGTAAAGAAACTGAGATCACTGAGCCGGGTAACAAAGTGGATATATTTATAAATATATTTATATACGTTTGGTGCGGCCGATTTCAACCAAAATACGAGGTGCACATCTACATGTTATAGTAGTCCTATATACAAAATTTCAACATTCTGAGGCTACTCGTTTTTGAGTTATGCGAGATACGTACGATTAATTTTAAAGGAGTTTTATAATTTTTGGAGGAAACGAGTCTTTTATTCTGTCCTTACGTACAGATATCACTCAAAAACATTATTAAATTGCATTCGATAGAGATCAAAATGGATATTTTCGTTGAAATATGCTGCCTGGAACTTTTCGCGTTTACAATACTTTCTTTTTACTTCGTACAAGGAAGTAAAAATAGGACAGCAGTATTTGACGAACCTTTCACACCAGGTTTGAAATGTTAAGCTGGATTCCGAAGATAAGTATTTTCTTTTTCATTTTTAGCACCGGAAGTGCTATTATTCTCAATTCTCAAATTTTTGTCCGCATCATTTTTCAAATAAAGGTGTGCTGCCACCAAATTTTATCTTCGTGCGTTATTTTAAAAAAAGTAACATAGCCAAATAAAGCAAAATATATAGTAACACAAATAAAACGAGGTTGTCACCAAATGTTATCGCCATGTAGATAAATATTACAACAAACATTAAAAAATGTATGGCAATACTTAACACTGCACTAGGAATTTTAAAGATATGCTGTGTTTAAATATTTTGTGATTTTGCTGCTAAATTTTAAGCGGCGTAAGTGCAATAAAGTGTTGCTAAATAAATAAGACAAAAAGTTGATAATAAATAGGCAAAAAAACGTTGTGTACGCAATTTTACTAAGAAAACTGAATACTGATATAATGAACTAAGAAACGACTGAAAAATAAATTAATGGCAATAAGTACACTACATTGGCAATTTTTGCTTTCGAAAATTTTATGATTTTGGTTTTGAATTTCACGTATGAGAACTTAAGGAAACTGAACACTGATGTGATGAAGAACTGAAAAAAGACTGAAAAAATTCTGGTGTAGCAAACAAATGCCCGTCCGCTAAAATAGCAATGAGATTTAAGTAAAAGATAATTTTAGTTAATCGCTAGTGAACAAAGTCTAATTTGGTTTTTCAATAAAAGATTTTCAATAAGAATTTCACGTTTTGTCTTGTGCCATGCCGTTTCGCTAAAAATAGTTAAGACTTGCTTGCATTGACCGATACACTCCATTTTATTCCGTTTCGTGAATTCTGATATAGTAAAAATATTAAAGCACTCTTATTTATAACTTACACATAGCTTATGGAATTCAGTACGCGGTGCGCAATTATAGATACTTAATAAGGAAAATGAAAACTAAATACTCATCGGAGAAAAAGAAATCGAAAAGAGGCCACAAGCATTTGTCGCCGATATCACCGAACTTAAGGCATGTCATGTCTGTATCCCAGCACTTCGGTGATGATATAACATTTAAGAAAGATTACTTTTATCATATGATGCAAAAATGTTCAATCGGAAATTTTTCCGATAAAAATGTAGGATATATAGTATAAATATAAAACACAAAATTGTATTTTTAAAAAATATGTACTATACAAATGTTTAGAAATTTATATAGAAAAATTAGAAAAAAAATATGTACTATACAAGTGTTTAGAAATTTCAGAATTCAGATTGTTACATAAAATTAGACAAAGCAACAACCTTCTATTTGGCGTAGACTTTAGTCAAGGCTCTATCAGTTTAGAGGCCACGAAATCGATAAAGCCTCGACTAAATTCTTTATCAAAAGTAACGATATTGCTTTGCCTAATTTTATGGTTGGTTTGGTTTATTGAATCATTTTTAGCCTTCTACTCTCAAAAGGCTAAAAATAAGAACAAAAGATAAAATTTTAAAACTTCAATTAAAGTTTCAATTTACAATAGAATTTTTAAAAAAGAAAAATATTACTTTATTAATTAAAATCAAATTTAAGTAAATTCTGACCATTTTTAAAACAAATAGGGAATAAAGAATGTGATTCTGTGTAAAACTTTAACTAAATTTTAGAATTAATTATACTTTAAAATTAGTAGACTCAATAAGGATGCTCAAAACGTTTTCATAAATAGGTTTCTTTATTTAAAGGTAAAAAATATTGATTAGAATTTCTTTTGTTTTTCCCTTGCTTTGGAGAGGGGCTAGAATTTTCGGGTGAGCTATTATAATTAAAATACATTGAAATGGTTTATCTGCTAATTCTGGATATAGAAAAGCAAAGATTTTTGTGGAACAGAGATTTCAGTTGATTTCAACGTTCCTACTCCTGACGAAGTAGCATTGAAGTTGATTGAATTCCTCTTCTATCGTGTTCTTTTTTCTTTCAATTTCATTTATGTTTTTAAGTGGGGTATTGAAGGATTTGGTTTCTGCATTTATAGGATTATGGAGGTTTATTACTTATGAATTTCAATTTTTGGTCTTTGTGAAAAATTGGTTCTAAATTTTTTTCTTTATATATATAGGACAACTTTAAGTCCTGTGAATATTTCATATCGATACAAACACGTAAAAACTTTAGAATAATAAACGGTATTTAAACATGTTTTTTAAAAATTGACCTAAAATAGAAGTACCTTTTAATAAACAATATAAATACTGAAAATTTTAAAGAGAAATGGTACTTTTCTGTTAACGGAGCGCCAAATGGGCGACAAAGCGGGAGATATGGCAGCCTTTTTACATCACCCCATGAATCGCTCTTCACTATGTAGAGGACGGAATGACAAAACTGTGCGCGAGGCCGAATTTGTGCAATTCTTCTGATATATTTTAAGCGAATACACATCGTTACGTATACAGCGGTCAGTACATGAGATGGAAAGCACATTAGATTTATTATATAGTACATTAGTGTTATTATTATAACTCCATTTTTTCCATGAACATTTAAGTATCGTTAGGGTTGTTGACATTTAGTAAGATTTTCCGCCAAAGTTCGCATTTGTCGCCAAGTGTTAATGGAAAAGTACCGAAGAACTATTGAATTAAACTTTTCTTTCGTACCATGGCGTATGTATGCATAACCTTTTTCTTCTATTTCTGGAGTAATTTTTCCTTTAACTTTTAAATATTTCATTGTGTATAAAGTTGGAGCCAAGAACATCATATTTTGCTCTCCACAGCCACGAGGTTTCTGCAGTAGTTTGTCAGGATTATTAATAGTAACTTCCACTGCAGGTCCTAGTTGATCCCCTGAAGTATTAAAGTATGCATTAATTACTAATCTTCAACTAAAAACAGAAAACAAAGAATGAAGAAAAAAGTAACACATTTAAGTTTATAGTTTCTAATAATTAAAACTAATAATAAATGAGATCAATAATTTCTCTTACAAAATTTTGCATGAATTTACACAATAATTTACTGCTAACTACTAGAAAGCTACAAATTTACATAAAAATATAAGCAAAATGTTTTTTACCAAAATGAAATTTCTATTAAAATATTTCGCATGGATTTTTAATGTTGTTTTAAGCAAATTAATATTCTATTTAAATCTGCAAGCTTCATTAAAAATATCTTTTTTTAATAATAACAATTTAAAACAGAAGAAGGTTACCCAGCATAATTTTGTAAATTCAGTTTTGAATACTAAACATTAAAAGCAGAGAAAACATGCTCTTAGCAAAGTAAGTGAGCGAGAAAATGTAATTATTGATATGAACTGTATCATTCTTAAAATTTGAAACGCTTAAAATTCTCCCTTTGGTAGAACACATACAGTAAAACATTATTTAAGCTACCTTCCAACAGAAATTTAAAAAAATAAATAAGAATAAAGTATCTTAAAGTAATATCATGGATTTCCGATATGTCCATCACTGATCGAAATGTATACAAAAGCAGAATATGATCAGCTTCAGTTAACGCCGCCGCTTACATATAGCTTTTATGCATCACATATAGCCCCTCCTTGGATGAAAGCCCAAAGTGGGAACGACGGCAATCAGGCGGCTGACTTGCTTGCAAAGAATGCTACGACTAACATCAAAGCAATGTAATTCAAGTCCCGTGGCTCAAGATCCACATAAAATTAATTTAAATGCAATCCTCGACTCATAGTAGCAACAGGTATGAGATTCTGCAATACAAGGCAGAACACTTCAAGAATTTTCTCCAAAAGTTGATAAAGAGGGACTTTAGAACACTGACTACCAATAAGTATTTGGACACCTGTGATAGAAAAGAAAAACTAACTTTATTCAAAATCAATAGTTGGTAGAGCCTCCACGAGAGGTAATTACAGCGTGGACCCTCCGGGGCATACTTTCCACAAGTCTTTGTATGATAGCTAGTGGTATTTTCTTCCACTCGGCTTGGAGAAGACATAGAAGTTCCTTAACCGATTTTGTACGGGTAGTGCACCCCTGAATTCGGCGATGCAACTCGTCCCAGAGGTTCTCGATAGGGTTCAGGTCTGCACTCTGGGCAGGCCAGTCCATTCGATGAACTCCATTGGCACCATACCAAGCCTTGGTTAACGTCGAAACATGACAACTGGCATTGTCGTTCAGAAAGTAACAGGGGTCCAACCCGTAAAACTGCCACAACGTAGGAAGCACATTGTCATCCAAAAATAGTGTAGTAGGCATCGGAGTTGAGCTTACCATGAATGGGGACCAAGGGCCCCAGCCCATACCAGGAGAAACACCCCCAGACCATTTTTCCACCTCCGCCGAACTTGACTGTTGGCACAATGCATTCTGGCAGGAGACGTTCTCCAGGTAGACGCCATACCCAGACCCTGCCATCCGAACGGTAAAGGGTGAACCTTGATTATTCACTCCAAAGAACCCGTTTCCACTGATCTACGGTTCAATTTCGATGTGCTTCGTGCCGCATTAACCGAGCAGCGCGGTTGGACTTTGTGATCAAAGGCTTATGGGCAGCAACACGACCATGAAAACCAAGCAGATGTGCTTCCTTATGGATGGTATTCATTGAAACAATACTCCAGGATGCCTGTTGAAACTCCTCGCGGATGAGGGCCATCGGTTGGGTGCGGTTCTTCCGAATTTCTCTGGACAGCACTCGTTGGTCTCTATCTCCCAGTTTCGTTGGTCTGCCGACTCGCGGCACATTCCGACAATCACCGCTCACCTTCCACTTCTTAATCACATAGGCCACTGTCGATTTTGGGTACTTCAGATCGCTAGATATGTCCCTTAAGAATCGGCCACATTTGTGATACCCGATAATTATACCTTCCTCGAAATCAGAGAGCTCCGAACTGCGAGGCATCTTGCATGCGACTAAAACCGATGCTGTTTCCTACGCGATATATACCGGCGGAGTCCGTGACGTACCTTAGGACCGCAGATATCGTCATTTGCATAGGTGTTCAAATACTTATTCGTAGTCAGTGTATGACCACGTTTTGAATCAGTATAGCACAGGTTACTGCTATTTTCCCGTGTACTTCCATGAGAGAAGCATATGCCCCTCTGTCTCTGCGTAAGGGTGATACTTTGATCATAGTATTTTCGATTATTATTTAATAGAATATAAAACACTTAATTAAACATCGCGATAACTTAATACCCTTCAGAAAATACGCTATAAAGACTAATCTTACCAAGAAGTCCGAGGCTCCTAATTTATTTGGGGGAATTCTTTTTGTGTGTGTATGTGTGGGTGAGTGTTGTGTGTGTGTATTTGATTTTTTGTGACCTGTGACTCTGCTTTCTGATTGAAATAAAATACCCGAAATTATGTGAAAGCCATATAAAAGAAATAACTATTTCCTTTATATGATATTCACATAATTTTTTAATTGCAATATATAGAGACATTAGGTATTTTTTGAAGCAGGAGAGATGAAAAATGAGCAATGCCCTAGCCAGGACTTGAGCCACGGTCCTCTCGAATACGCGTCGAACTTGCTGACCACTACGCCACGAAGGTATGCTAAGAGAACGGGAGAAATACCCTATAAATATAAAATCATTAAGTTCAAGCAATAAGATATATACATGCTAAAATTGTGCCTACATTTTCCAATTTTACTTCAATTTATCAGTTTTATGTAATTTTATCTATTTATGTTTTCAGCAGACTGATTAAGGCAGATCCTGTTTTATGAAACCATATATACATCATTTATCAATAAATTTAATATTTTATTGCTGTTACTACAGCAGCTTTATAAAGTTTTATAGATATTTTAATGTGCTTGCTTATGATTTATTCTGTATCGCTCACATGTAAAAAGGTATAAACATGTTCTAATACCGCACACAGGAATTAATTTCTAAAATTGGAAGTGCTGTAACTCCACAGAATGCGACAGAAACGGAAACAAAAAATATATAAATAAAATAATAAAGCAATAAATAATGAATAGTTAAATAAATTATAAAGGAATGGAAATAGTAATAAATTAAGTTAATAATAATAAGTAAATAGTGAATTAAAATACTATGAAAATTAAATGAAAAGGAATAAGCTTTGCCACCAAATATTAGAGTCCTGTGTTACATTAAAGAAATTAAATAATGAAGAATCTGTATAAATGTATGTATGTTTCTCGCATTGTGATAAAACAGCCGTACCTGGAGCCATCAAATTTTGAATAACGTACGTTTCCACCCGAATATGGGCATCTGGAAGCCCAAATTTGGAATTTGTTTTATTTCTTATTTCATATTTTGTAAAACTTTAACAAATTTTTGATTAACAGGCAAGCAATGGCAACACTGTACGGAAACAAAGCCATTTTTATCTCCAGTGCCCGAGACTGTGTATCGGAAATTTTAAAGACATACTCATTTTAAAATTATTTTGCGATACTGCTGTTGAACTGAAATTTATGGTTTAAGTGCGAAGAACATGATTTTTAATAAATAAAGGTAACACACCCAAACTTAAAAAACGCCCCTTTGAGGGTAATGTAAAATCTGAAAGCATTTAAATTTTATTTTGTAGAGGCATTAGGATTTTTGATGCTGAGAGACGTGATAAATGACCAATGCACTCGCCGGGACTTGAACCACGGACCTCTCGAGCGTGCTAACCATTACACCACGAAGGCATGCTAAGAAGACGCGAGAAATACCTTATCATTTTATTATTATTACTTTTTTAATAGCCGAACGCATACTTCTCATGCATTTGTCGAAAATAGCCGAACAATCCTATTGCCGTCTCATCACCAAGAATCACAAGGAGTAATTTCATATTACGCTCGCGAGAAGACGTAAGAGCATATAAACTAACCAGTCCTTATGCCGGATTTAAATCCTCATCCTGCCATTCAGACAAATAATCAGCCTCCACTAAAAGCTGTATATTCCAGGGGAACGATAAAAGAAAAATTAATATTTTCATTCAGGGTAATCAAAAAAGCATTAATAGCTCAGTGGGACTGAGATATATGTGCATTTTAATTTTAGTTTTTAATGCAGTTAAAGACATTTTAAATTCATATAGTCTATAAAAATTTCGTTTTGAAATCGTGTTTTGACAAAACTGATTTGTTTTCCTTAGCTGCTGAAATTATCTCGCATTTTTATCTTTACATTTACTGAATATGATTGTTAAATTTTGTCATATTTAAGTACTTTCTATTTTTTAGAGGGTAATCAAACTCAAAACAGTTGAATTAAATCCTTTAAATGCTCTCTGTTTCATTTTGAGTAATGTTTCAAATAAAAAAAAATGTGCTTACGTAATATTACAGTTTATCACATGGAATTTTAAAAGAAGCCAACTTTAAATAAATAACTTTAAACAAAAGTATATTCTTTTATAGTTAAATATAAACTTCGAATCAGAAAACTCACCATTGCATAATAGTAATGTCTAAAACGTAATAATAAATTGAGCTAAATTCAATGCTAAACAAAGCACACTCAACGAACTACTCGGGGGGGGGGATCGGAAATTAGGAAGAAAGTATATGAGTTGAAATTGAAGCTTCCAGCGCAGCAATCAGTATTTGTTGCGCCAGTTTCAAAGTCCAAAAATGCAACAACAGCTTCGTTTAAAATTGATCACTTGTTGGCGAAGAAGAGAAAACCATTCAAGACGGTGAGTTGCTGAAGGAAGCATTTCTTGCAGGTGCCGTAAGCCTCTTTGACGGATTCTCTAACAAGCGTGAAATCATCAATGCGATTCAGGACCTTTAATTATCAGACAGCACTGTTTTACGGAGAATAGGAGCAATTGCTGATGTCACGCATTCTCAACTGAAGAGAGAGTTTTCTCTCCTATTTGATGAGCCCACAGATATTTCCGACACCTTGCAGTTAGCTGTTATGATAAGAATGGTATTTAACGACTTTTCTGTTAAAGAAGAATTATTAAAAATTCTGCCGTTGAAGATTAGAAACCGAGGAAAGGACACTTACAACGTTTTTAAGACGTTTGCGGCAGAAATTGGCTTGCCGCTTAAAAAGCTATCGGCAATTACCACAGACGGAGCACCTGCCATGACAGGAAGAAGCAACGGCTTTACCGCTTTGTGTAAGAAAGACGAGTGCTTTCCAAACTTCATGTCTTATCACTACATCATTCATCAAGAAGCGTTGTGCGCAAATATACTTCCATTTGAACACATCATGAATGTTGTCACGTCGATTATCAATTCTATTCGTGCAGCTCCTTTGCAATACCCACTTTTTAAAGCACTGCTGGAAGACTCCGAAGATAAACCAGTCGACCTCATCTTGCATGCAGAATTCCGATGGCTCAGCAGAGGTAAAGTTCTGTCAAGGTTTTTATCTGTAATCGATCAGATAAAAGAGTTCATGCAATCTAACCCTGCCAAATTCAGTAAACACATTGGACAACTAACTGACACTTTGTGGCTACATGATCTGGCTTTCCTCGCCGATATCACTCAGAAACAACATTTTAAATCTGGATCTTCAGTGTAAAGACAAGGAACTGGCTCAATTGGTGGGATCTGTGAAAGCTTTCAAAGCCAAATTTACATTATGGATGTCTCAAATGAGTTATTTATTTAAAGTTGGCTAATTTTATAATTTTTTATTCTTATTTCTGGGCTTCTTTTAAAATTCCATGTCCCTGGTTCATTTTCCGAACATGAAAAAAAAAAAAAAAAAAAGCGAATGACGACAATTTTGGGTCCTCGCGATTTTCCGGCCATCTCGAGACGCTTGTGGGCCAATTTGAAAAGCGATTTCAAGATTTCAGTTGCCTGGAGCCAGTGGCGAGCTTTCTTGTCAACCCATTCACCACGAAGCCACTGAAACCGCCACAGCAATTGCAAGAATTATTGCCGCAGAAGTGGAAAACCTGAAGCTGGAAAAGGTCGAACTGAAGAAGCCAATGCACTGAAGTAGACTTTCTGGAACTGAAGAAGCCTGCAAGCCAATGCACGGATGTAGACTTTCTGGAAACTTGTAGAAAAGAACAGGTTTCAACTATTAAGAAGTGTTGCATATAAAATCAAATTTTATTCTGGGTCTACCTACCTCTACGAATACTATTTTCAACTATGAGCATTATCAAGTCGAAGAACCGGAGCGGACTCACTGATTCACATCTTGACAATTGCTTGCATGCGGAAACCTAAGCGTATACACTTAACGTACATATGTTGGTGAACGAAATTCAGTGCCAGAAACCGCATTAAGTGCAACACCATAAACAGAAAAGACCCGGCTATATTGTAAGTAATAAAAACTTTGTGCATGAAATGCATATTTTGGCTTGCGTTAACTAACGTGACAATATCGCGAAAGGATGGCCTGAATATCACCAGGGACAGAAATGTTATGTGGTGGCGCTTCGCTTTCTGAAACTGCTTTATGTGCCCTAGCACTAAAAAAGGTTGAGTACAATTGCTCTGAAGTGCCGTTCAGACTGGGTTTTATCTGAGGTAACGGAGACATCTGCCATAGTCGACCCATCTCGAAAACCAGTCTTTTCCGCATAGGGGGCGAGTTGAAAGTTCTGAACTGCAGGTATAGCGGAGCTAGTCGACACATAGAATTGACTCCGTTAGCTCAGATAAACCCGAATCTGAACGGCCCTTAAGCAAAAACGAACATACCGCCCTAGGCAATGGCCCATCTTAGAGGGACTTCGGAAAGCGAAAAAGAATTTTTGGAGGGCGCTGTTAGCTAAAAATACAGCCGTTTTCAAAGTATTTCATTCTGAAGGACCGAGCTTATGAATAGACACCCTCAGTATAAAACTACCAGCTTCTGATCTAAAACTCTTCCACATGTCAACTTCTTTATAATAAATGGAAACTAGATTGGATCAATGAATTTACAGGCATAAGAAAATTAAACTTCATTCTAAAAGTTGATGGAATTTTCAAAAGTGGCATCCAAGAACCTACAGAGTTCTTCGCTGCAAACAAAACATTTATGACCTGTGTTAATCGGATCGGTTTCATGGAAAACGATCTTTGCATATGTGGCCATATTAGCAATCCCGACCGCTATGTGTTTGATTACTCATTTATCTTCAACTGCCATCTCCGGAAGGCAGCAGCTGAGAGCTGTCATGCATAGTCAGCTAATATCTAAAAAAACAGATTTGCAATATCCTGCATTTAGGCTTTACTTCCCATGCTCTCATTATTACATGGATAAAAGACTCGTCACTTAATACCGCCAGTCACATTGTAATGTTTTGTAACTAGTAAAGAAAATAACATGTTCAATTGTATCAGCCATGTATTTTCATGTACACTGCGGAAAAAAAAAGGGGGAACAGTTCTATATCTCCTGTTCCACTGGGCCGATTGACGAAATTCAACATGCGTTTTTCATGTCTCGAAAGCGTGAATTAGGATATGTATTAGATTTATATGTAGCGACACAAAATCGGACTTTTTATGAAATGACATGCCAATGTTTTTCCATATTTCGATTCTACGACTCAAATCGTGCCAAACTGCCAAGCTTTGTAAAAATCGCAAGATAAAAAATTAGCTCTCAAAATTTTACTTCTTCAGTGTTAATTGCGATTGGTATATATTTATGAATATCTCTTTTTTTCTACTAAACTTATTTAATTCTTTCTTTCACATTTGGAAATTTAGGTTCATTCCAAATAACTTTCTCCCATTTTTTATGATTTATTTTTTAAAAATTGTATTTTTAAATAATTTTTATAAATTTTACGAAAAAGATTTTAAATTATAATCTATAAAATTTTTACCGTCATCTTAAAGTAGATGTATTTCTAAGCATACGTGAAAAAAATTACAGTTTTTTATTCAAAATTTCCGAAGATGTACGTGAATTTACATAATGGCGCGTTTTGAAATTTGACATAGTTGTTGAAAGCGATAATAACATCAAATGTGGTTTAGGCACTTCGTTAAAATTGTTTGAAAGTAGGAATGATGTGAATTTTCCGCCCATGCATAATGTAAAAAGGTGGGAACGAAGTGACATTTTTCCGCTCCTGCACAATGGAAGGGAAAGGAAAATAGGTTGCCCTATATTAAGAAGTTCGCCAAGTGAATTATTCTTGGCGCAACTGAAAAAAATTCGCCAAGATAAATTTTTGAATTTCTCTTAAATTTTGCACCAAATTTTACAAAATATAATATTTAGGCATAATTTGAGTCGTAGAATCAAAATATGGAAAAATAATTGGTATATTATTGCAGAAAAAGTCCCATTTTGTGTCAAAATACTTATGTTAGAACAATGCTATGTATAAATCTAATATACATTCTAAATTGCGCTTTCAAGACATGGAAAACGCAATTTGAAAATCATCAGTGTGCCCAGTAGAACGGTAGATATAGAACTGTCCCATTTTTTCCCGTAGAGTACGTTCCTATAAATTTAATTTATACATTTCTCTTATGTGATACGTAGTATTTAAATATATTTGTACTGATCCCATCTATACATCTGTCCTTGTACTTACACTCTAGTCTTATCATATTTATATGCCCGACTTATACTATAATGTTGTAATAGAACTGTCTGTACCTTTTTACTTTTCTTTTTATCTTGTCCTTTCTTTTAACCCAAAGTCAATCCGATTAAGTTCCAGAGGACATTGCTTTAACTTTTCTTTTATTCCATCAGCGGAATCTATAAAGTGATAAACAACTAACCCAATGGACAAGCTGTTTTGTCGATGGCCAAAAGAAAGAAAGAAAGCGTCCTACGTGCCACGTAGAATACAGAAAAGCATCTTTTCATTTTTATTCCTAAACACACGTTTACCAAATATTAATACACATTAATTAAAAATTATTTCTACCGGTAATTAAAGGCCTGGAAAAGAGATGAAGTGTGTAAAATGATTTCAACAACCAGTACTTACCCAAAGCTGTAATTATGCAACTTTCTGTTCCTGGAACAAAATCTTCAGGCATATGTAATTTTACAGCTGTGATTTGTAGATTTTCTCTCTCATTTATTGTATCTAATTAAAAAGGAAAGAAAGATACTTTTAATGTTTAACAAGTTCGTTTTTATAAAAAATCAACAAATTTTATACTAAAATAAATTTTGAAACTAAAAATCCGCTATCGTAAAGTATTACGTTTACAGTTTTCGTATAGAGAAAATAACATTTGCATACACTCAGCTTCATTTAAAAAATAAATCAGTTTTCCTGTATGTAAAATAATGGTTAAGGCCTTTCCATAGCTGCTAGCCTTGAAATGAGGCGACTTGACTATAAAAGAGAGAATATGCTTATAGTATGTCTAGGTAATTTGTACCACATTTCACCATGTTTGTCAAATACCACTGTTGCGCGTAGATGTGCCGCCTATAGGCTGAAACAAATCGCTGCCTATGCTATATTTCTGAGAAAACTGAAAATAGGTAATAAAATAAGGAATAAGAAAGTTATGTAAACGTTTATTAGATTCACAATAAAATGAAAATTAAGCGCCATTCCACCCGAATATAAAATTTCATATATACATATTTACATATTAATTCAACCAAATAAAAATTACCTTTCCTTTCGCTCACATTACACTTTTAGTCTGGATTTATTCTGAACGAAAATTTAATCCCCCATCTAAGGTGTTTTCTTCATCCTTCCATCATGCCTTCGGGGTGTAATGGTAGCATGTTTTGCGCATATTCGAGAGGCTCAGATTCGAGCCCTGGCAAAAGCATTGTAAAAAAAACTTATGACTCTACAATTTTGATGCTTCACTCCTTGTTTCTCCAACGGAGAGTTCGCGAAATTCAAAGAGAACATAGAGAATTTCGAACACGCTGACGTACGCACATTTTCGACAGTCCAGTTCCAAGATTGTAAATTCCTTAATTGTAAAGAATTTTGAAACGAGTCTTAGCAGTGAACAGAATTTCTTCATCATCGTCGCTTTCATCAAATGTCACTTTCCCTTTCTGATGCGCTTTTCATGCGCAGTGTAATTACGCTTAACACTTAGCACCTTCACCTTCTCTTCACAAGTTTTGAAATTTTCACGGGGATTTGTACAAATCGATGACCAATCCAATATCAGCGTCTTCCTGTTATACCTTTTTACTGATTTCATTGATGCGATTCAAAATACTTCTCCAAAAACAGTTACAAACGTCCGTTTCAAATCTCATCATTCCCTTAATTAATCCTTATGCTTCAGCCTTGTAATCGCCTTTTCTGATCTGTCATTTGAGATTGATTTCAGAATATTGTGAATGTCTTTCCATGACTTGAATAAACACTTGCAGGTATCATGGCTGCATGATTATCCATGGAATACATATCCTTTGGTATGATTTTCTACATCTATAAGACATTTCTCCCGCCTTCTTAGCGTGTCTTCGTGGTGTAGTGGTCAACACGCTTGGCGCGTATTCGAGAGGTCTGTGGTTCGAGTCACGGCGAGGTCCTTGCTCATTTTTTGTCTTCTGCTTCTAAAAAAATATCTGATGTGTACACCATATGACTTCCTTGTACGGAATATTAAATTATACGCATTTTTTATGCATTTCGTTTAAACTTATTACATTGAATCAAATCTACTTTGTCGATAGCACATAAACCACAACAGAATAAATGCACTCTTTAAAATTCGCTATATTTGTTTACCATAGCGACACTCTGACGCTAGGTTCACTTAACAGCGTTACATTTCATTCATTTTATAACTTAGGTCTTAGGTTATCACTTTAGTAAGTGGTGTACGACCAAGCGGTCTTTACCATTCTATATTTGTCCCTTTCGGATAATTTTAGAAAATAAAAATCCAAAATTTTGGAACTCACTTATGCATCATTCGTGCTGTAGTCTTCCATAAAGGCAATTGTAGTAGATTAGCAATATAGCAATCAACAATGGCAGTTAGCATATCTTTGCATATTGCATATCTTGAGCGCTAGGGATGTAGTGACCTACTTCTATGACGTTTCGTCGGAGACTGCATATCGTCGTGCAGAACTAGTACAGGCTCTGACCAATCGGTGATTCGCGTAATTTTTAAACAAATTAACATACAATGATCAATGTCTATACCCGCTTTGACGGGTGCAAAGTTCTTATCCTGTTTTGCCAGGAATTATAATAAAATAAATAAGTAAAAATGAAGAAATAAAATTGAAAAATAACGTATTTACACTATGTATAATTCACCACAATTCGTTGTGTCTGATCCTTCTTGGTCATTTGAACCGCTATATCACCGTGCAGTCATAGTCTCCTATGTTTCTTACTATGGCATTTTCGTGATTGCCACATTTCGTGTAGAAATTGTGAAAATGCTTTAGAATTTCGTTGTCTAATGGCAAACATTTTAATTCGTGATGCATTACAGTGTTTCTTACGAACCACCGTGAAATTGTTATTATTCTCAAAAATTTATTTTGAAGTTTTTGAAGCAGTTGTCGATTTGATCTGGCCGCGGCAGCTCCCGCCGGCGCTACATATAGCAGGATTGGTCTGATAGCTTGTAAATACAAAATTCTTTTGGTGCTGTGTTGTAGCTGGGAATTTCTGCCAAGTAGAGCGTAAATGGATATAAAAGCTGTATGTGCTTTTTTTCTGACATACAGGGTTTGCGGTGTAAAAGTTAACCTTTCGTCTAACATAACTCCAGGGTATTTTACGTAATTTACTTTGGGAACAGTGCCGCCATCTAGTGTGATATTGCTAACTTCTTTTAGGTTTGATTAAAAAAAATATTAATTGGGACTTGAAAGTATTAATCTTTATCTTACACGCAATAACCACTTACAGAGGATATCTGCAGCAACTTGTAATTTCTCTTTAGCACGGTTTTCATTTTATAACTCAGAATGCACAAAATTTATGTCATTTGAATGAAGAATTACTTAATCGTTGCCACACGTTCTATTCAAATACTATAATAAATCAAAAACGTTGTATAAAAGAAATTAAACAAAAAAAAAAAAAAAAGTAAACAGTTTTTCATAGACGATTCAGTATTTCGCATTCAACTAATTCAGTTCTCACTACGCGACAAGGGAAAAATACATAAAACCTCCAAATATATATATTAAAAATTACGAAGTAAATCTTAAACACTTATTTCCTCGAATAAATTCCAGAATGGATTAAACATGATGTAATTCGTAATAATAAAAGAAGGCGTTATCTCTGTTGTTGCGAAGCTTAGTTTCTCTAGATTGGTAACAAATCCACTATTCTTCTAAGTTTCAAATGTAAAGAAATATGGCCGCCATGGTAAACTAATTAGGCTTAGCCGCACTTAAACAACTTTTAAATTGTTCATAATTCTACAAATATTGCACGCAGATTTACTAAAGGCATAAAAACCTTAACCGGAAGATAAGAACAACATAATTCAACCATTTTCAAAGAAAAAATGAACAATTTACAAATATATAAGATTAAAGAAACTGAGATCACTGAACCGAGTAACAGAGTGGATATATATATCTACATATATTTATATACTTTTGGTGCGGCCGATTGCAACCAAAATCGGAGGTGCATATCTGCATGTTATATCAGCCATATATACAAAATTTGAAAGTTCTGAGGCAGCTAGTTTTTGAGTTATGCGAGATACATATATACATACGTACGTACGTACCCGCAGATGCCACGCAAAAGTCTCTTCAGAATTCATTTTAAATCAGTTTTATAATTTTTTTGGGGGAAGCGAGTCCTTTTATTCTGTCATAACGTACAGATGTCCCGCAAAAACATCGTTAAATTGCATTCGATAGCGGTCAAAATGGGTATTTTCGTTGAAACATGGTACCCGAAATTTTTCGCCATTACAATACTTCATTTTTACTTCGTACGAGGAAGTAAAAAACCTAATAGATTCTACAGTGGCACCCGAACTAAAAAAGGTGGTGGATAATTATTCTCCACCACCAGGATTTGGCGATTGGGTATTGGTAATTCCAGTCGGCCTTTAAAAGGGAGAGTGTATAAACTATTTATCCCGCCTTTTTGGCATGCCTTCGTGGTGTACTGGTTCATCGTTAGAGTCCCGGCGAGAGCATTGCTAATTTTTTCATGTCTCCTGCTTCAAAATAACCCAATGTCTCTGCACATCGTTATTCTTCAGTTTCTCCCAACGCATCGCGAATGCCAAAAAATATTGTAGATTTCTTGCAGAAGTGTAAAATAATTTATAGGTTGAATACAATTAGTGTCTGAATCTTCAACTGGATTCAGAGAATGGGCTGGACAGGGCAAGAATTCAACAAATTTGCTTCCATTCTTAATTTTTGCTTGGAGACAGGTATAGGCTCATGCCATTTTCGCAGCATTATCGTATGACTGGTCTCTACATTTGTTTACATTAACTTCAAGGGATGCCGAGGTGTTCGTTATAGCAATGTACAGTTTCTCGTATTTATTTCCAGTATTTGGTACGAATGAGGTATGTCCAAGAACACCATCAGAGGAACACCTCTGTTGGCGTTCTTGGAAATATAACAATCGATAACTGTTATACATATGAGATGTCATATGTTGAATTCACAATTATGGAGACGTATTTAGCTATCCTTGCACTGTAAAATATAACTTCTCTGCACTTCTGGGCCAGTGTATGTACCACATACACTTCCTCACAAGTGGCTCACAAGTTCCTCACAAGAGATTATGAGAGACTGCTACCCAGTCTCTCATAATTCTTTAGATGTTCTTTCAAGAATGGATCAAATTCGGCAAACAGTTCCACTGCCGTTAGAATGTTTCCATTACGATATAATCCAAGAAATTCAGCAGACTTACAATCTATAAATCGCAAAAATTCTGTAACTGCTCTTATGACAAGGGTTTCTAAAAAAATATAATCAATATATCAAACGCAGACATTCCTCAAGAAAAATATTATTGGACTGAAGTTTTACCACACGTTCAGATTAGGCTTAGCTCCAATAATACTTTTAAATTTTGAATAATTCTACAACAACTGCATGCAGATTAACTAAAGGCATGCCGAAGAGAAGAAC